GAAGATAACAGACGGCCTGCCTGCCCTGTGGCCCTTCATTCCCAGCTCTCCAGAATCCAGTGGTCAGGCCTGAGTTAGCAGCATATTTCTTGCCGGCAGTCATTAAATGCCAAAAAGGAGATTAATCTGAACCTTCTGCTTCAGGTAACTTGACGATTGGCTTCTTAGGAATTGCTAGGAAATGCACTAGAACTTGGAGTGAAGTATCATGGGAAATAAGGCATCTACTTGGGATCAAAGATTAATTAAATCACAGCTTGTCTCTCTCCTATAATTCCAGGTGCTATAATTATTACAATATTTATGTGTTTTTTCCTCAGATTTCAGATAATTTTATAAATAAAACAACATTTTTAGCCTCTGAAAGTCTTACACCCCTGCAGTAACCTAGGAAGCTACATGAACTCTCACCTATTAAAAAAAGGTCAATTGAAAAGAGCTTGTTCTAGCAGTGTGTCTAATCTGAAAATATGGGACAGACACTCAAACATGAATTTCTCTACCTGCCTTGGTTCTGTTTGTAAATGCAAAACAATTAAAAAAGGATTTGTCCAGTCTCTTTTGTGCTGATATTGCACAGACTGACCAGGTAGAAGCAGTACCAGGATATGGAGGATTGCAATGTGGGGAGGCAAACAGGAGATGCTCAGGAAATGTATGCTATTTCTGGGAGTAAGATATTGATACTATATTTAAGAAACTGCAAAATTACTTAAGGTGTTATGACAGAATATTCCTGGTAGGGTAGGAGTCATGTCGGTGATACAACAGGAGAGGACATTTTCACTGTGCACAGTAATCCGTCGTGTGGCGCTATCCATAGGAAACTGCTGTAAATTACAGTTATTTTCAGTTATCTTTGTCCTGCTTTGCACAGCAGCACCTTCGCTCATCTTCAAAATAAAAGTGCAGCACATAATTGGAGTGCTCTCCTTCCCTACCTTGCATTAGTGCTTGCCTAAACCCTCGTATTTGTGATAACCTATATTAAGAATATGAGGTCTTACAAAATACTGAAGTACAATGCCACTAGACCGAGACCAATTAAAGGATATCTTAAGGAATAACAAAGATCTGCACACCATACAGAAAAAAAAAACCCAGGATATAGCCACACAGGCTTGTCTTCTCATTATTAGCAAGAATATCTTTCCATGAGGTAAAAAAAAAAACAACACATTTCAGTTCTGAGAGACACCATGCATGCAAACTGCATGACGCTGGAACTCATGGTGCAAATACAGATGCTGACCTAAATCCTTCAAAAAGCATACCTAAAACCTGGAAGAAGGTCTTAAGTATTTATTCTGAAGGATGTAAGAGGTCTTGAAGTTAAACTGTCTACCATGATAACCAGGACTAATTAGCTGGATTTGTCTTACATCTGAATCACCCTTGGGAGAAGCAGAACTGAAGGAAGTTCCGATCATGGGATTAAGATTGCATCAGTGAAGATCTTGCAGGCAGGCTGGTCAGGAGTTTCACTGATCTGGACACATATGCAACTCTAAATTCAGGAACAGGCTCTCCTACCAGAATGGACAAAAAGGAAATAAAACCGCAGTCCTCAAGACAGCTAGTCAGGGAACCATCCCAAAACCAACTACAGCCTATCATAAGTCACCAGGTGGCATCACATAGCAGAATTGCCTGTATTACCTGCAGTATAATTTGAAGGCAAATTAGCTGCTAATTTGAAAGAGGAGATCTGGTGGAAAAAGCTATTTCTGTTTTTTCAGATGGCCCATATGATCATTGGTGATACTGGGGAGCCTTAGATATTACTTTCCCCTGGGGCAGGTGAAGAGGGAGGGAGAAGATCAAAGTTTTGGCTTCTGGTAACACTGGAGATCAAGGATAGAGACACTAAAGAAATACCAAGAAAAATATCACAGTCCCAGGTAGAAGCTGGGAAAGAGCTCCAGAATATGAGAAAGTAGTAGTACTTTTAGGGACTTCCAAAACAACACAGAAAAAAAAAATGCTAAATGCCTGATTTTTTCTTCAGTTCCTGTATTTGCTGTGCTTTACGTAAGACAAGGGTTGAAACTGCTGATGCAGTAAGAGGACCCATTTTATGCTACCAGAACTTCTAGAGAGCAGGAGGGCTCTCTGTATGATGACATTTTCCAAGAGAGAGCTACTTTTAACTAGAATACTCCTGCTAGTAATCAGACCTAGGAATGGGCATTTGTACTGTGGTGCGATGACAGCAATCTGTTGCGTAAGAGTCAAGGCGTAACCTAAAAGAGCAATGCTCCGAGAACCAAGGCAAAATGAAAGCAATTTCTAGTAGGATGCACTATCACCTTTCCTATCTTTCCCTCAGGCACTTTGGCAGATGCTGTATTTTCCTGGGTTACATGCATTACTCAACTGATATAAACATCTTATAAGTTCATTAGAGAGGAGACTATAGCCTCTTTAAAGTGAAAGAAAGGAAAACACAACTAAACTCAACCTTTACACACTCCTGTGTGTAAAACTATAAACTCTGAAAGGGACAAAAGATCTCGTATTTTATTACCAGTTTCTTTTTATAAAAGATCTACCAAAGAGTTATCAGATAGATATACTGCCTGGAAATCGTAAAAAAAATGCACATCAAAAATGTCCACCTAGAACACACAGTTCTTTGGGTTAATGACTCTGTGATCTGAAGCACTGAATACGAACTCCATACTCGGACTCTTCTAAGGTTCCTCTATTTCCAGTATATAAACACCTTACAACAATAAATACAGCACAGACTGTACCTTGCCTAAACAGTAGCTGTCTTGTGTTGTATGAATGCTTGTATCCAGAAATGAAAGACAGCAACAATTAGAACAGAATTGACTGAGAAAGACAAAATAGTGAAGTTAAAAATAAAACAAAGAAAGCTCTTTGCAAATCTCAGTCAGTGAGGCTATGAAAGACCTACAGAGCAAACCCTACATATTCAGCACTTCACCTTAGAGAAACTGAAAGTACCTGGCACAATCCATACACTTTGTCTGTGAGCATGTGTGAGATGAAGGGTGCTAAAAAGCTCTACCACAAACGGCTGGACGTATGCATACATATGTGAAAATGCAATAGCATGTATTTTCACACAGGGGAATATACAGGTGCCCGTAATACATGCATTATTTCCATGTGAAAACTGCTACTCCTGAGCCCTTACAGGGAGTATCTCTTTATGGTAATGCTGCTCTAACACTGTTGTGTACCTAAGCACTAGGCTACTGCTGGCTGAAACAGGAATGGTGAAAGGAAACACAGGGCAATCAGGCAGCTAGACTCATTGATTGCTTCTGAGAATAAATTACAGCATATTTTGAAGATTCAGTAAAGTTTGACCTTGTGAAAAGAAGTTTACTTTTTTGCAAATCCCAATAATCTCAGAATAAATTAAGAAAGAAGTCTTAAACTAGGGATTTATTAGATCTGAAATAAGTAAGCCTGCACAATTTTGGCCACAGGGCATTGAGGAGAAGAGATGAGAAAGAAGACTAAGAGGGACTGTGGATGCATTCAACTACAATACACGATAAGGTCTTACCACAGTTAGAAGTCATCTAACCATATAAATCTCTGTAACTGAATTGACAACTGCCTGTCAATCCCAGTAGCTGGCAGATGTATGCATCCTAAACTGGAAACAAGATGCAAATTTTTAAGCAAAAATGGTAACTGACCACATGAAAAACCCTACCAATAAGTAAGCTAAATTCTCTGTCACTTGTAAGCCCTGCATCAAACCTCTAAAGATTCTAAAGTCTGCACTTAACATCAAATGCATGTGACTAGCTCTGATGTAGGAATCACCAGATATGCTTTCGATAGGAGAAAATACCATACAACAGATGTAACAGTTGGCAAAGGAGAAAAAAATGACAAATTGTTCATGCACAAATGGGGGTAACCCAGTATTTGCCCCAAGTTATGTCCTATCAACCCAGCTGCTTGAAGTGCTCTTCTTGCCCTATCACAGCCCACCGTGCAGACATACCTACTTGTCTTTAAATCTTTTTATAGAATCACAGAATCACAGAATTGTTTAGGTTGGAAAAGACCTTTAAAATCATCAAGTCCAACCGTTAATCTAACCCTGCCATCCCACCACTAAACCATGGCCCTAAGCACCTTGTCTACCCGGCTTTTAAATACCTCCAGGGATGGGGACTCAACCACTTCCCTGGGCAGCCTGTTCCAATGCTTAACAGCCCTTTTGGTGAAAAAAAATTTTTCCTAATGTCCAATCTAAACCTCCCCTGGGACAACTTGAGGCCATTTCTTCTCATCCTATCACCCGTTACCTGGGAGAAGAGACCAACCCCCAACCTGGCTACACCCTCCTGTCAGGCAGTTGTAGAGGGTGATAAGGTCTCCCCTCAGCCTCCTCTTCTCCAGGCTAAACAACCCCAGTTCCCTCAGCCGCTCATAAGACTTATGAAGCAACACTTTTAGATTCTTTGTTTTTCTTTATAAAAGAAGAAATGTGAAATAATTCCAAAGTTTGATTTTGACAAGCACTGTGCAGATTTGATCAGTTTGCCATGAAAACATTGGAAGTGTTCTCATTTATTTCTTGGAAGTGAGTAAATACTCACAATACTTACCTCATACACATTGAACTGAGATTGTCCTCTCGACAACTCCCTGTAACTTGTTGTGAATTCTCCGATGAAATCATGGCTGTATAAAAAAAAAAGTTTTTAAATCAAATGCACAGCATTCAGTAATTTAAACATGTATTACATCTATTTATGAAAAAGAGAAGCACAGCCAAGATGAACTGACACCCAGGGAAGGAGCAATGGCAAAAGATATAATTTGCTTAAAAATCTGAGTGTTTTATGTTCACTTTATTAGTAACAAAAATTTTGAGACAAAAAGTATTAGCTTAAATCTTTCTGATGGCTTCTGCTTAACTTAGCTGCACAATGAGGACTAGGTTGTAAATTAGTGATCTGACCCCCATGTAAGCTTACAGAACCTGAAAAATCAAAGTGGGCTATCAAAGTCTGTCACTATTTTCTCACTGGGTGACCACTGGCACCACAGACTGAACTGTGTGCAAGACTATGTGAGAGAAAGGGAGGTATTAAGAGTGTGAAAGGAGGAACTTAAACCAGAAAAGACCAGCCCTACCTATTTGTGTAATGAGCCACTGAATGACACTTTTAAGGGGAAGACCCAAATCTTATTTCAGCTGCTATGTCTTCCCACCTGGGAGGAGAAAAGCAGATCTTCACCAAACACTACAACAGTGGTTTTCAAGCTTCTTTCTAAATTCTATTCCCACTCCAAGAATGTATTCGACACTCCTGTGCTGTCACCCACGTTTTGAAAACTGCTTTGTCAACCCTTAACCAGGGGGTGGCAGGTGGCCAAGGAGCTGCTGTGAGCAGGGAGCGCAGTGGATGAAGCATTGCTGAGAAGGGTGGCTGGGGTCAGGGAGCTGGGGCACAGAAACCACAGGGCTGTCAGAAGTGACCGAACTGCGGGTTCCTACCTCAGACAGGTACCTGGAATGGAAGCAACCTCAGGGGCGAGTGCCTAAGAGCTGGCTACACAGCTCCCAGCAGGCGCAAGACCTGTTCCC